GGGGGGGGTCAGAAGCCCCGCCCGGCGACTCCTTTCGATGCTCGGCGCTCCCACCCGCCCCTCTTTTGGTCCAATGCCTTACAACCACGGACGGTCGGAGACTCGCAGGCGGCGTAGCGTCCACTCTGTAGCAAGCGGCTTTGGTGTCGATGGTGAGGATGAGGCGCCGTCACCTTTGCGGCGGTTGTTGCCTCACCTTTCGGTTTTCTCGCTCACGTGATCTGGTTTGCACGTCATCCGGGTCCTTTTCACTCCGGCTAGCGAGTTCAGGTACGGATGGCTTGCCTTTGTTTCAGCTCATCCGGTAGCACGGACACTCCGGGTCATTTTTTGCGGCTTGCGTGCCATTATTTTGCTCACAGAATCCGCATATCCTGCAACCCTGTTCATGCAGAATTCAGATGACACCGACTCAATTTTATTTTCAATCTGGTTTACATTTAGTCCGGTTTGCATGTCATCTGCTTTGCAGCTCATCTCGCTAACAGCTAATATGGGTCAGAAGGTCAAGGTCATTCCCGGTCTGGCCGGCAAGTCATTTGGGGTTCCGTGTAACGCGTGATCGGGGGTCACGTGTAATCCAGGTCATACCTGTAATCTGGGTAACGGACAAATTTTGTGTTGCATATCGACTCTGAGAAACAAGCGAGACTGCAGTACACGCAAAACAGAATCACGAGCAAAGCGTTACGTGTCACCTGGGTAAAAGGTCGCCCGTGCTGCCTGTGAGCAAGTTTTTTTTTTTTTTTTTTTTTGGTCTGTGTTACGTGTCACCTGGGCAACGCCTGAATCTAGGTGACACACAATCTGAGTTTTTTTACAGAACTGAAATCATCTCCGTGCCACGTGTGTTGTTCAAATGAGGGTTTTTTTTTTTTGGGGGGCGGGGGGGTTCCTATGAATGAATCTGATGCAACTGCAGCAGGTCATCTGGCCAATGCGTCATCTGTTTTCATCCTGTTCACCTTTCATCTTGGTAACGTGGAATCTGGAGCTCCTGGAAATCCGAGTCAACAAAATGCCGGTGGTCATCTGTAACCGGTGTCACCCGTCATCTGAGTAACATGAAACCCTCTCCACCGTTCTGCGATCGCGGTAGCATCCGGTTCGTGTCATAATCGGCGTACCGAGTAATCCGGTAACACGTAGCATCAATTACATGTCGACTGGGTCGCTTGTCATGTGGGTAACCTGCCACTAATCCGGGTAGCATGTACACGGGCGTCAGAAGTCATCTGAGTAGCGCAGCCATGTTGTATGTCATGTGGGGGACCCTTGATCAAAATAACAGGCAAATCCGCGTTCCATCTCATCTGATTAATTTGACATCCACTTTAACATAAGCAATAGCGTCACATGTAATGTGGGTATTTTGTAATCCGTGTCGCACGTACTCGGGGTAACGCAATCGAGCGTCTCGTGTCGCTCATCAAATCCGAGGGATTGATGCAGAAGCCGTTTTGCGGGTGCCTTTGTGTGCACACTCGTATAGTTGTCTGAAAAAATATCCGCGCAACAAGTGTTATTTGACTAAAAGCCACCACGGGTAGCCGAACTAATCCCGCTTTTAATTAGCTGCGGCATGTTCCGCTTTGAGGGCCGGCGTCCTCAAAAAAAAAAAAAAAAAAAAAGCATCTCCTCTTTTGGAGCTCAATGAAGTCACCATGAGATGAAAAACGTTTTTGTCACATTTTCCCTTTTCATTCCAAACAGAAACGAAAGGTCTTGGACATGTTTTTTTTTTTCTTTCCTGCCTTTGTGTCAATAATTAGCCACATTTAGTCATCAAGGCACCCGATCCGGAATTGTAGCGTTACAAATGTCAAATGACGTATTTTGCTTTGAAAGTCTTCAAAAGCGAGGACCTCAAGTTTTTGTTGCCACATTCACATGATTTTGCCGCGGGCGGTAGCACGCGTCTCCTTGAAATTTGGTCAAGGAATCACTTTGCCCCGGCACGGGAGAGCTTCGACCTCAACACAGTCCGATGCGTGAAAATGCAAATGTGAAGTTTCATGTTTTCGCCCCCCCACCCCACTTGCAAGAATTCAGCCTTGGAGCTTTTTTTTGCATAAAGTCCAAAAAAACAAACATAACCCGTGTGGCACTCAAATCAAATCTTGTAAATATTCCTAAAAGACGTTTTTGAGTCCGAGAGGAATTCACCTCAATTAGGAAAGCGCTCCCCTCTGACGACGATTCTCCGCAGGTCAAGAAAATAAAAGCGAGCCGACACGACGGAGAAGCGGTAGTATAACAGGCCAAAATCCTGATGTCAGGTCCACTGTTTGTGGTCCGCTTCCTGTTCAATTTTGCCCTTGAGGGTCCTTGAGGCTTTTGTTATTTATGCTTTGTTACAATGTTTGCATCCATCTGGGAATTGGAGGCAAATTTCTTTTCAAACTCGATTGGCCATCTCTGGGATTTTGGTCCTTGAGACTTTTTTTTTGTACCTCTTAGTACAGTCGACTTTTCCAACCAATTCTATGTCGATGGGTAAAACCGCTGTTGGGAGCTCATTTGGGTTGCAACCGTGGAATTGACGTCAAAATGGTCAACTTCCTGTTCAAGTCTGACCATGGGCTCCACTCCACACTCCCGCATTTTCGCCACAAACATTTGGTGAATGTTGAGGCGAGTCAAGACCCCAAGAAAGTTCAACAAACGTGAATGAAAAGCTCTCCCGATGTCCAACTTGAGAGTAAATATATCGATCTATCTAGAGATAGATCGATTTATTTTATTTTTTAAAACTTGCATGTAGTTGAGTCCCGGACTCGGTGTGGATTGGGACTTTAAAGGGCTTCTGGTTCTCCGCATGCCTCAGCCATCACTCAAACCTTTCGGATTTCCCCGAGCCCGTCCGTCAAATGTTGCTCTCTCAGGATGAATGTAGGCTTCGTAACCAACAAAGAATCAAAACAACGCGGCTGCTCTGTGTTCGCTGTAAAATCCTCGCCGGCCGGTCGGTCGGTCAGTCCGCTGTACAGATGAAGCGCAGCTTTCACTCGAGCTTGGTTTGCTTTGTTTATCTTCGGCGTTCATGTCAATCCGGTGCCACCTTTGGTTCCTCCATGTTTTTTGCCTTGTTTCCTTTTTTTTTTTAAATGGTAACGCTGCTCGGGCGCACTCGTTTGTATTTTTCTTACAAGCTGCTACTCGGAACTGGGTCCTCACCGCCGCCGCCGCCGCACTGACCACCATGTTCCTGTACAGAGCACTGATTTATTTCCTGTATTCTCTTGGAAGCAAATCCTTGTATTTTCCCGTTCTATGTAAAACACAAAACAAAATGCGATACTGCACTCAAGCTGTGATGGCTCTTCTTTCTTACCCGGACTTGCAACGTGTTGCCGTTCAAATGTTTCCAAGTCATTTTCAGGTGGGATGACTTAAGTCGTCGGCGTGGTCTTGCAGGCCATGGGTTCATGTGCTTTGGTACCATGTTATGGCTAGTACAAAAAAAAAAAAAAAACAGTCATCAGAGGCATTAGCATGATCTTTGGTCAAATTTTAGAGTAAAAAAAAAAAAAAAAGTGTCCACACACATTTACAGCTGTCCAAATCCAAATTGCTAAAAGAAAAAAATAAATAAAAATTAAAACATCTTCATACACCTCAGCATCATCTTATGGCCGTTTGGCAAGTGCAAACAATACAAAAACAACTTTTTCGCATTTATCTTAGGGTGGCTGTGAAGCTTGCACAAACTTATTTAAAAAGTATCAAGTCTTAAGACACATTGTGATATGGTTTTATGGCTGTGTAGCAAGTACAAACCTGGTTTAAAAAAAAAAATAGATAAAAATTGCCGTGGTCTTATGGGCTCTTGCTGCAAATAAAAATTGGTATAAAAAAAACAAAACAAACGACAACAAAACAAGAGTGTCCGCTCTTCCACATCGAAATGCGGCTTGTCCCCTAACAGTTTGATTGTTCGTTCAAATAATTCAACTCCAGAGACAGACAGCAAAACAACCTCAAAATGTCAAAAAAGTGTGATGGAAGCTTTCAGAAAAGGTTTTTTATTTATTGATGTATTTGTTGGAATCCGGTGGGGGGGAAAAAAAAAAAAAAAGTGCCGTCGCGGCGGACTGTGATCACCCGTCAAGTTGCTCCCCAGCACGGCGCGAATATCTTTTGAATGCCGTTGCGCATCCGCCGTAAATGTCACATTTGGCCACCTTTCCTTGTAAATCGCGCTGAAAAGCTGCCAGCAAATGTACGCTGCTAACAATGCGATGCTCACACGCGTTCTCGTGCGGCAAGTTAGGGAGGAACCAGATTTTTATGTCGTTTTTTTTCTTGAAATCGTTCAACAGACAATACAAGAAAGCTGCGTCGTAGTTGGGGGGTGAGAAGTCTGACCGGTTAACTTACAAATAAAAACTATCCCAAAAAAGTACAAAAATTGGTTGTCGGGCCTCGGTTTCAAAAGGACAAGCAAATCAATTGTGGAGTTTTTGCACAGTACAGCAAAGCTAATTTCCACAATCCATGCTGCAGAGCTCCCCCTACAGTTAGGGGGGGGTTATTTCTTGTCATGTCGCATTGAAGGATCCAAATATGCTCAATGAGTTGATGAATGCAAAATGGAATAAAGTATACGTTTAGATTGTCACACATGCAAAGGTGTTCAAAGGATTATCATCGACGATCAAAGTCGGTGTTTGGGGGTTGTCACGGCAACAGCAGCAATTATGCAAGCTCCCATCAGCTTGATTCTTAAGCAGCTATTTTCAGAGAAATCCCTTGATGTATTTTTTCTTTTTTCCCCCTCGAATGCCCCTTTGAGTCCGTAATAACATCTTTCAACTCAGCGAGTACCTTGGTTTTTTTATTTCCCGTCTCAGTGGAACTAACAGGGAGGGTGATTTTCTTTTTTTTTTTTTTTTTTTTTTTGTGTGCGTGTATTTTTTCACTTGTTTTATTTGAGCTTTGCAGTTTTGCAGCCAAGGACAAGTGAGCTATTATTCATCGCGCGGGGCCAGCCGGGCCGCACTTTAAAGGCACCTTTGTCAAGTGTTACCTCTTTGAACCCTGATCAATGAAAGTTTAGCCTCCCTCTCGATCCTGATGATGACACTTGCAAGGCTTTTTTTATTTATCTTCTGTGTGTGTGTGTGTGTGTGTGTGTGTGTGTGTTAAAAAGACTCATGGATAAAATGAAACATTGAAAAGCCTTTTGCGAGCCTTCGCCTTGTGCCAGGAGACGGCGACAATGGCAATGGCGCGCATCCAAGTGTCGTACATGTTTTATGAACGCCGGGGCCCCAATTTTTTTTGTTGTTTTTTTTTTTTTTTTTAGAAAGCAGCACACGTTTGTCAACATGTCCTGACCTATAAGGGCGAAGGGGACACAGTTCAGCTTTTATTACGGAGTTGAGCCAAACTTCCAGTCGCACAAAAATAGTTTCTAACTGAGCTAAAAAATAAAAATAAAAATTTAAATCCCTACCGTTACTTTATTTTTATTTGTTTGATTACTTACCTTATGACCTTAATTTTGATGTTCAAATAAATGTTTTCCAAAGGTCGTTAAAGCCGCGCCGTATGACTGTTGCCAGCACTTTTTGCATCAAGGTCACCCGCATTTCGGCTCACCCTTTGTTAGTATAAAGTAATAGTGTCATTTTTCAGAGGTGCCTTGAGATACAAGTAGACTGTGTCCCATGACCATGCTTTCAACTCAAAAAAAAAAAAAAAATATCCCACCTTATTTGAAAAGAATGGGCATGCCATTCATCCGCCGCAAAAATACGGTGGCGAGGACAGGAAGAGGTGTCCACCGGGTACGAGAGGACAAGAGGTTTTACGGCCTCAGCTGGAGCCGTCACGCCAGCGTGGGCGTCTGCGGGAGGCTGATAACCTCCAGCCAAACATGTCCCACCGACTTCATCACGGACACTCAGCGGGCCTGCAGGAGGAAATGCAGCTGGGGTGGGGGAAGAAGAAAAAAGAAAGGGAAGCGAATCAGCTGCAGCACAAGACTCAAAACGTAGTCCGACCTGAGACAGGCTGAGCTCGTAAAAACAAAACAAAGCAGTTTTTACATTTTATTTTGATAGTAAACTCAAAAAAAAAAAAAAAAATCATCCATCCTAATTGAAAAGAATGGGCATGCCATTAATCCATCCCAGCCTCCGCCGCAAAAATACGGTGGCGAGGACAGGAAGAGGTGTCCACCGGGTACGGGAGGACAAGAGGTTTTACGACCTCAGCTGGAGCCGTCACGCCAGCGTGGGCGTCTGCGGGAGGCTGATAACCTCCAGCCAAACATGTCCCACCGACTTCATCACGGACACTCAGCGGGCCTGCAGGAGGAAATGCAGCAGGAAGGGGGGAAGAAAAAAGAAAGGGAAGCGAATCAACTGCAGCACACGACTCAAAACGTAGTCCGACCTGAGATAGGCTGAGCTCGAAAACAAAACAAAGCAGTTTTTACATTTTATTTTGATAGTAGGAGTAGTCTATACATATTTTTTTCGCTGTCAGTCATACCTGTGATGCATTTGTCCTCGTGATGGAAATTTTACCTTGGCTGTCACGCGCACTTTTGGCTTCTCCTGTTTATTTTGGGTGTAGTTCCAATGTCAACCACTAGATGGCAGCACATAATTAAGTTAGATTGAAAGTGTTGAATAGCAGAAAGTAGTAGAACGAAAACAGAAAGTGCTTTCCACGCATCCTAGTTTTTTGCTGAAGGTAATTGAATGTCAAATCCTCTACAGTCCCGGGTTTTAGGCCTACAGAAAGCAATTGCTGAAGGTTCATAGAATACATCTTTGCGCATAATTATTGATTGATTGGGAAAAATGGGATATTACATTTTTAAAGAACGATAAAACGACATAAATTTAAAACACCGTCATGAGGTTTTTGTTGTGGCAGGAAGTGTAGCGTTTTCAGCACTTCCTGTTCTGTTGCCTCCCACTTTTCCTCTTGTCTTTTATCAGCCGTGACATTTGTTTTAAATGAGACAGCTAATCAGGTGGCGGAGATGGAATTGTTGCAATAAAGGTGTTTATTTGAACGCGGCCTCGGGCTTTTTGCACACTTAGGCTTGATAGCTCCCGAGCAGCCTGCTGGGGCTGCTTTAGTTACCATGGCGATGCGGAAACTTTTAAAAAGGGGAGCGTAAAAGATCAAAAGTTTGCTCTCGACCCAAAACATAACTCGGAAGCTCTTCAAAACTGTTGTCTCCCTATGAAGATGGATGGACGAACGGAGAGATGGATAGACAGATCACCTGACTCGATCGTCAAATACATATAGTAATAGTAATACTGCATTTAATATTTACATCCTATGTATTGTCTGTTTATTTATGAATGTATTTATGAATATTTAAGTCATCACAGTGTTGATGTTATATTTTATTGTTGTATCACATAGTCAAGTATAAAGAAGTACATACACGATTAACCGCCAAATGGAGTATTACAATGAATTTTTTATTTTTTAATTGATGAAGGAATGAGTTTGTGTTATGTCATTGCCTTTCAACAATAATCTTTAGGAATACTTATTTTAGTGATAGTTTTAGCTTATTTGGAAAATATCACGAATAATACAGTTCAAGAAAAAGATTAACGACATAGATAACTTAAATGAATGAAAATTGACTTATTTTAAGTCATCACGTATAAATGTAATTCTATCTTTATAATGTTACCAAAATAATTTTATGAGCATCTGAGAGGGGTTTTGTGCCTGTGGAAATTAGGTAAGCGAAACATTTAGGAACCACTTTTCCCTTGCGTAGTCGTTTCAATGCATTATGGGTATTGTAGTAATGTAGACTCGATTTCGCGTTTGCTTTCCTGGCTGGTTAGTTAATTCAACTACGTTACCCATAGTGCATCACGGTCGTTTTGGTTAGTTTCCCCGCACGCCGTTTGAAACCGTACAACCAGAGTTATCGACCTAATCAGACGAGTGAAAGGCAACGTTTGGACTTCATTTTGGCCAACTTCGTCAAGAAATTAGTTTATTTGATAGAGGCACGTCAAAAGGCTGCGAAGTCCCCCCCCCACCCCACCCAAGATAAGTTTGTCACAATGCTAAAAACGCAAGTACGCTAGCTCGTTTGGTTTCTCGAAAACTGACAGCAAAACGAGTTTTGAACCTCTTCGCACGTCAAAAGGCTGCGAAGTCCCCCCCCTACCCAAGATAAGTTTGTCACAATGCTAAAAACGCAAGTACGCTAGCTCGTTTGGTTTCTCCAAAACTGACAGCAAAATTGAGTTTTGAACCTCTTATTTGAAATTAAGTATTAATCGACAATGAGAGCATGGTGCTCTTGCGAGAAGGGATGTGCCCGGGACTGGATGAAGATTTCGTGCGCCGTTTGCGGGATGCCCAAGTTAAAACAGGTTCAAACGAGCCCTTCCAAACGACAACTGCGAATTTGCACAACACATGTCGTCGTTTTCTGAATCTTCTTGTTCCCACAGTGGAAGATCTGGTCTCGTCGGACATGGAGGACCTCGCACAGAAATGTTCGGCGTCATATAAGGTATTGGTGTTTACGCTTTAGGAGAGAAATTGACACTTTGGCGCAAACGGGATGTCGAAAATTCTGAATGGCGAATCTGAAGGATTACGTGTGGCTCACGTTTACAAAATGAGCCGTTCGCACTGGAATAATTGTCCTAAGCACTGGTTCCGTATCTCGTGCAAGCTGTTTGCAAATCTCTCGCATACTTTCAAAATGCACACTTTTGAGTGCAAACCATCAACTAGCCTTGTTAGCGTCTTGAACCCATGAAAACATGCAAGACCTTTCCCTTTTTCATCATTTGCACACATAAAAAGGGCGGAGAGATATTGAGATTAAATTTTAAAAAGTCTCTGTGTTGACCTCTTGGGCAGGAAAGAGAAAACGTAATTTTTGTTGTTAAGTCCATCCAAGAAACGTTTTTTTTTTTTTTTCTTCCTGTGCACTAATAATCAGGAAACAAGGCTTTTGGGAGAGACAGTGCTTGTTTCGCGTGGGCAGGGAGAGGTCACGAAAGGCCAGTCCGCAATTTATTGTTTCACCTCATGTGGTCATTGCCTCGGCACCCCGTCGCCCAGGAAACATTTGATTTAATCGTTACAAACAAAAAGCTCCAGCAGTGTCTGTCCTTGCCAATGCTATCTACATGTTTGGACATTTTGTTGACCCCCCCACGTGCCCCACGGTGGCTTTCAGGTCCGACGCGGTGACCCAGTTGAGGCCCTCAGACGGCTTTGGTCATCACACATCAGGCTGCGGCTCCTTCAGCTGCTTTTAAAGGGGGATGTGCAGTGCTGCCTTGAGATGCCAAATTTTAAAAATTGCATCGTGTTTGGTCCCTTGATGGTTACAACAATAAATATATGAATTACAGAGAGAATAATTTGACGGTTGTACCATACTTTGTCCTATTGTTTTTACTTTACAACAGAGAAATTACTTCGTAAATCGTACAGGTTTTTTTTTTTCTCGGCGGAGGCAATATTTGAATGTCATTATTTTTGTGTGATGTTTCAGCGTATTACAAAACAAACGAACAGACAAACAAAGCAATTGGAGAGAAAAATAAAAATAGACCGTCTCCCCAACCCTCTTATAAAAGTAGCTAATATATCGATTAATCATTCTGACCCTAATTCAAAGCTACATTGCAATTTTTCCACTTGCATGGATCCACTTTGCGAATCGATGAAGTGTCACTTTGCAACATACAATGAACACAATTCTTGTCATTTTACTCGCATAACGGTCTGAGTCACCGTTGAGTGTAATAAGTGTTTCTCACTCAGAGTTAGCCCTCAGGCAGCCTGTTAGCGCCAAACGACCTCTCCGACTTTTGACGAGCTCTTCCGGGCCGAATTCACGTACGCCTTGGGGGAGCTCCCACCCGAGGCGTCGGTCCGCTAATTAAACACCTTAACCCGGGTGTCGCGGCGGAGCTTGTTACTTAGCGATGGCCCGAAGGTGAAATGTCATATTTTGTTCTCTGGCAGGCTCTGATCGCCATCCGTAGGGTGCTCCTGGCCCAGCACGCCGCCTTCCCCGTTTCCGGCGCCGACCTCTACGACGAGCTGCTCAGCTCCACCGCCATCCTTTCCACGGGAAACCCAGAGTGAGCGCCGCTCGGCCTGTGGGCGACGTATTCCGTTCGTTTACCTCCGTCGTTTACCTCAACGTCAATTAAAAAAATAGCACCGGACGCAAGGTTCACCAATGGATAGAAAATTGGGCGGGCGAAAAAGTCTCAAGACGCCATGCATGCAAGTGAACAGGAAGTCGCATCTGTTCGTTTTTGGGGTGAATTCCCATGCTCGAAAGTTTGAAAAAAAAAATGTTGCGCAAATCACAGAAGGCATGAAAAAGTTTCAACGATCGATGCCTTTAATTCAGCGGCACCCACTCTTTTTCGACCGAAGATCAACCCATTCCCACATTTGCACATACGCACGGTTTGCCTCCATGGTCAAATTCCAGAGTGCTATCTTCTTTTTTGTGCTTCGGTGGTTTTTTTTTTTATCCTACCCTGTTTCAGCTGGAGGACACGTGTAAGTCAAACCAGCCATAAGATTTTTTTTATTTTTTATTTATTTTTTGCTAACCAGATTCCACTGCACATCTCCTCAACCAATCAATCACAGCCTGAGTCATGTCGACGTGCCTTCCTAAATTGAATTTGCATTGAGCCGCCGAGCCCCGTGTAGCAGAATATGCAGCCAAGCGTGTCGCGGTGGGAGGGGGGTGGGGAGCAACCTCTAAAGAGTTGCCTTGTCCCATTTGGGCCCCAAAGTGGTGTCTGATGTATCGGCAGCATGAACGCCGGCTCCTGCTCAGCTGCTCGCCGTTTAAAAACAAACAGCAGCGACGGCAAAAAAAGGCAAGCCTGCAAGGCGCTTCGTGAAAGCGCTGCACATTCATTTTCAGGCCAGGAAATCTTCCTACAAAACCGCCTTGTTGATTTGAATTTTGCACCTTTGAGCCAGTGTTTCTCAGGCGTGTCAGAACTGGCTGCGGAAGCTTCCAAGAAGCCCGGACGTGCCGTGGCTGCCCCCTAGCGTCTCATGGAAGGGCCTGGACATGCTGGGAGGACACTTGATTAGGCACACCTCCTTTCAGCTTCCTCGTGGAAAAGACCACGCCCACTTTCGTACGAATTTCTCAGACCCTGTGGATCACACTCTGCGGGGATCTTGGACTGTTGTGCGAATGTTTATGCTGGTTACATTTTGCAACATGACAGGTAGAAAAACGCCCCCCCCCCAAACAACTAGTCCTAAATTGCTAATCTATTGATTTCTTTATTTCAAATCAGCTTTTTTTTCTTGAGTAGTTGCAGTTTACGATCTTGAAATTACAATTGTTCATCCACCTCATTCTTAAAATGACATTTATTTCCCTCGTATGATTTTATTCTTGCAGGAGTAAAGCTTTTCTCTGATTAAATGTGATTTGTTTGCAATTAATTTTTTAACCCATTGATTATATTTATTGCTTTTACATTTCTTGTAATTTATATGTTTGATCTTGTACTATTACCCATTTTTTTCCCAAATGACATTCTTTTATGTGCATTTTTTTTTTTAAAACGTATTGTTTCTTTTTTCATTACAACCAAAGTATTCAGGTACAGTAAATATGATGTTTACCGCTCCTCACAATAAGGCTTCTTCCGAAATGTTGAAACAAAATCGAAAGCGTCGACATTAAAGCGCTCGTCCTATCATCTTCTAATCAAGACGTTAAGGCACCTGAACGTGACTCCACACAGCTCAAATCAAAGCGTCTCCATGTTTTCCAAGGACGTTTGACGCGCAGACGGCAAAGAGCGCCGTTCCTGTTTTCCCTCCCCCCAAGGACGCCCGTCACACACTTGTCATAATCACGCCGTGTGACCAGCAACTCTGGGCCATTTTTAACCTTCATACTGAACAGGGGTGGACCGGGGCACCCTCCCTGGGGGGGCGTCAGATATGTTGATGCAAACCGGGGTGAGTGCGACATCCATCACGGATGAGACGCCGCCACGACGACCAATAGAAATGGCGCACCGCTTGGCGAGGGATATCGTCTGCCGCTGCATCCCCAATGTTCAATCTGCCTCGCGCATTTTAAGTGCACGGTCTTTATTCTTGTTCTTGTTGTTAAAGATGCAGTACGTAACTTCACGTCGGGCCCAATTTGCTGCCGGTCAAGTGATGGGTTTTGTTTGTCCTCAGTCTGGACGCGCTGCTGGATTCCGGCGTGTACACGGGCGAGATCACCGAGTTGGCAGGGGGGCCGGCAAGTGGCAAAACTCAGGCGAGTGAGCCCGTCGCAAAGCACAAATAGCTTCTTCATTCACTCTTTATTTGAGAGCAAATGATATTTTGGTCATAACATTGTCCTATTGAAATATTTTCTTTCTCATAAATTTTGTCTTTCTTTTTCCTTGTTATGATATGATTGTATTTTCCTGCAGTGTATGAATGTTTTTTTTTTTTTGCCGCGTGTTTTCAGGTGTGTTTGGGCGTGGCGGCGCACGTCTCGCAGCACTTGAGACAAAACGTGATCTACGTGGACACCACGGGGGGTCTGTCAGCGGGACGCCTGCGCCAAATGCTGCGAACCCAAACAAGTAGCGACGACGAGCAGGTGCCCATATCTCATAATTATTAATAACCTGTACAACATAACTGAACAAAAAAAAAGAAAGATTGGAAGTCAAAATAAATGATTGTAGTTGCACAAGTGTGCACACCCTTGTCCAACTGGGGATGGTCAGAATGAACTCATCACATTCAAACTCATCCTAAATTGGTGTCGGCAAACACCTGCGAACATTGAAGGTGCCGCATGTTAACACTTTTTTTTCCAATTGTCATACACGATATATGTAACATTAATGGTTAAAAAAATTAATATTTTTGGCATATTTCATATTGGTCCTTTTTTTTTCCCCCCCTCCTCATGTCACAAAAAAACTGGCATTTCCACAAGGGTGTGTAGACTTTTTATAGCCACTGTCAGATGCGCAGCGCCTCATGAAACGCACGTGAAAGTCGAGTGTCATTTTGGCTGGCAGATGGAAGCCCTGCAGAGGATCACCGTGCACCGCGCGTTTGACATCTTCTCTCTGCTCGACTGTCTGTACCGCCTCGGCGGTGACGGCGGCGGCGGCGGCGGGCTTCGGCAGGTGCCCGCAATCTGTCGCCCAGCCCCGATGAGGCGTCGGATGTTGATGTTTGTCACGTTTGCCGCGGCAGGCGAGCAGCCACGGCGGCTCCGTCAAGGCGCTGATCGTGGACTCGGTGTCGGCCGTCATCGCTCCTCTGCTGGGAAGCAGGCATGATGAAGGTGCGTGCTTGGCGGAATTCCACGCATACATTTAGGCGGAGAACGCTTCGCTTGCAAGGCGTAATTGCCGCAGATATAACAAAGTGCCAAAGTTCAACCGGCAACTTTTTGCTGGCGTGTCCTCGGATATCTTGATTTACTCATTTTTTTTAGTCATGACTATTACTCATTGTCAGGGCCTGACCGACGTGGATTTTTTTTTTAGGCCGGTTTAGATATTTCTCACGATAAAATTCTGATAACTGATGAATCAGCCCATTAATTAAAAAAAAAGATTCCCCAGGATAAAAGAAAAAAAAATGTTTTTAGCTTATTTTTGCCCGTTGTAAAAGAGCTGATATCACTCCATGAACTGGTCGGGCCATGCCACTTATAAACAACTTTATTTAATATAACTTTATTTCCCGGGGTTTTTTTTTCTCATTGTATTAAACTGAATGGTTTGTGCCAGCATAAATCTGCAAATAATTCTTCATTTTTAGTTGATGATTTCAGTTTTTGCTGTAAGAAAAATTGTGCATTTTATATTCTTGGAAAAATTATTTTGTTTCCTCATATTATGACTGTCTTGCGCAATAGTCCTTGTGTCCATCCCCCCCATATGTCTTTATTTACAAATATATTTCTCACAATATTTTTTTCTCATCCATAATATTCAATTTTTTTTGCATAGGCATGTACATGAAGAGCCAAGTGGCCATCACCCTCAAGGCCATGGCCAAGGATTTCAACATAGCTGCTTTGGTGAGGACACACACACACACACACACACACATGCATGCATGCGCGCGTCGCAAGACGTCACTCGGCACTGAGCGCCGCGTCCGCAGGTGACCAACCACGTGACAAGGAGTGTGGAGGGCGAAGTGCAGCCTGGCCTGGGCGTGTCGTGGAGTCACGTCCCCAGAACCCGAGTCCTGCTGGAGCGACTCCCCGACGCCGACATCGACCGACCCACTCGACGCTGCGCCACCCTCATCAAGTCTTCCAGGCGGGTAAGATAAAGGCGCTCCCTGCTGGATGGATGTATGGATAGCTACACACCTGCATTCAAACAAATCTAAATAAATAAATCAATAAAATATGTGAAGTTGAGGAGCCGCTGTGTCAGGTTGTCGTGTCTTGGCCTTGCTCAGCCATGTTTGATTCGAGCCGAGTTGGACCTTCAGTGGTGGAGTCGCTCCGAACGAGACACTTCAGGAAAGCGAAAGCTGGACAGGGCAGATTCTTGATAACAACTGACTCAGGAGTTGGGGTACATTTACACTCTGGAATCCAGACACTGCACTAGCCAGGGGACCTTCTGGACTCGTTTCTTCTGCTTTGGCGGCACTGGCTCCTTTTAGCATCACAACAGTGTCCCCTCTTTGCACGTAAAATTCACTGTAATTTTGTGGGTGTAGGGGTGTGGGGGGTTCTACATTCCTCTATTGTTGTAATATAAGTTATTCTTATAAAATAAAATACAAATGTACTTTGCTTTTTTTTCTCATGACTTGATCTGTCTCTTTTAAAGTTATTTTTTCCCTCCTAAATTTCAACTTTTATTGTACGAATGACTTTTTGTCATGTTGATATTTTTCTTTGCTTGTTAAAAAAAGATCATAACTACTATATAATTCAAACTTGCCCAATAAAGTACAGTACACATTTATGCTTGTGAAAGTGTTTCTCAGATTAATTGTTTACAAGTTTAAAAGTTATTTGGTGATCAATATACAACGAAGGAAAGGAGATGCAGGAAAATGAATTCGGTTTTCATGCGTGCACCGGCCCAACATGCCTCCTGCACCCGCGTCAGGTTCATGTTGCGCATGCGCCAATGAGCCATTGTGCGGCCCCTTTAAACAAAAAGTGCTCACTCCAACAAGCTAGCGTTGCCAAAACGGAAGTAACATATATGTTCAAAATAAAATTCCGAATTGCGGTCAAATCAGCTACGTGTTCCAGCCTGTCTGGCTCTTTGACAATACAAGGATACACATCTATGATTTGAACAAAACGCACCTATGCAATGTTATCATCCATACAACGCCCCGAGTGGTAACTTTTAGTCTCTAATCGGAAGTGGCCAAACCATTAACGAAATATCGTTAACTTGACCACGCAGGGAGGCTACAACAATGCCACGGAGACTCCATTTAAACCCTACTGTTGCACTCTGTCAAAAGTCTACAAGGTACAGTCGCAATGATCGCTGGTTTCATAAATGATGTTCAAAATGTGAGTTTTGTGTGAAAAGAAAGAAACTGCCATCTGATTGTAGAACGGGGGCGTGTGGAGAGTCGTGTCGTGTCCGGCATGGCTAAAAAGCTAGCTGAGAAGCTAGCCTGCTCAGTAGCTGAAGTTACACGTCGCTAATTCTTAAGCAGTTGAAATTACATTCGATTCGCAGTCTGGTTCTGGCAGAATCTGATTAAAAAGACCAAAAAAAACAAGAAGCCGGGATTCTGAGGATTTTGATTATTTTAACTTGAGGAAGGTCTTTAAACAAAGCATTTCTTCTCAAAATAATTGTTGAATAATTTGATAATTTAGTTGTCGATGAGTCGTAGGACTTCAAGTTGTGACTTATCCGTAAAGTGTGCATCTTTTTCTCAGGTTGTAAGTGGCAAGTTTTGATGCAGAGGTGCTTCATTTTGCTAGCCAAGAAGACCCTCTGCCTTCGCCCCCTCGCACCCCTCGCCCCTCGGCTCCGGGTGGCCTTTTGGCGGCTCCTCGCCCCGCACCCCGAGTCCCGTCACCGCAGCCTTCTCGAGCGTCACGGAGGCCTCCGGCTCTCCTTGCCCGCGCCCGACGCCATGGCGGAGCAGCGTTTCCTGGTGGAGTACGCCAAGCGCGGAACAGCCGGCTGCAAGAAGTGCAAGGACAAAATCGCCAAGGGCATGGCGCGCATCGGCAAGGTGGTGCCCAACCCCTTCAGCGAGTCGGCCGGCGAAATGAAGGAGTGGTACCACATCAAGTGCATGTTTGAAAAGCTGGAACGCGCCCGTGCCACGACCAAGAAGATCGAGGACATCACCGACCTGGAGGGCTGGGAGGAGCTGCAGGACGAGGACAAAGAGCTCATCAACCGACACGTCTCTGGTACCTCATGGAAAGCATGCTCCAGAAATTCTGCCAATTGCTGCTTCAAAATACTCCGCAAAAGTAACAAATACTTCTTTGTGTTTGCAGAGTTGATGTCCAAAGTAAAGTCGAGTCCGCAGAAGAAGACCCCGGCCAAGTCGGCCGCTTCGGCCAAACTGACGTCACCTGCTGCCGACGCCGCAGCCTCGCTCAACGCGCCGCGCAAGTTCTCAGGGTTCACCGGTAGGCAACGCGCTAGCCGCTCGCATGTCTGAAGCCTTTCGATATCCTTGCTGGCCGCTTATTGAAGAAATATTTTTATTGTGTTTAAGTACACATCTTTTTTTTTCTTTTTTTTTCTCATAAACCAACCCCTGGTTTTCATGGACAACACTTGTTGGCAGTATATCCCTGCTTATTCAAGAATTTTATTGGAGTGAAAATGTGTTTACAACTCTTCATTTGTGTGGAAAAATGTTTCCTATGTGGCATTGAACATGTGAGCATTCTCCTCATGCGTCCCACCCAGCGGCCAAGGCGGGCGCCTCCCCGTACACGTCCTCACCCCTGTCGTCGCCGTCGCCCGCCAAGCAGGGCAGCGCTCTAGCCGCGCAGCTGTGCGACCCGCACCACAAGGACTGCCTGTTCCGCGAGTTCCGCAAGCTGTGCGCCACGGTGGCCGAGAACAACAGCTACAACAGCAAGACGCAGATCATTGAGAAGTTCCTGCGCAAGGGCACCGGCGGAGGTGGAACCCGACGAGAGAAGCGCGCCGGCGCCATTTGGCGGTCGGTATCAATTGGTCTTTTCTCTCCCACCCCCGGCGTAGATAAATTCCACGGTGACTTGTACCTGACGGTGAAGCTGCTGCTGCCCGGCGTGGTGAAGAGCGTGTACAACCTCAACGACAAGCAGATCGTCAAACTCTTCAGCCGCGTGTTCCGCTGCAGCCAGGATGACATGGTGCGAGATCTGGAGAAGGTCTGTAGAGCGATGCAAAGACACGCCTCGCGTCCGCATTGTGCGCCTGCTCGGTTCTCGGCATTCGCTCTGACGCCCCTCTCGCGTGTGAAAACGTCTTTGTGATGCCGAGCACACGGCGGAAGAGTTGCGCATTCCTCCTTTTGAAGGAGTGCATGTTGAGAGACGAGCCTTCAGACTGGGGTTGCGACGAAATATATAATCATTTCATCTGTCCATCATTTTTTTTTTTTCTGGAGTTACCGATTGTAAAAAAACATAAGTCTATTTATTTTGATTGATTTTTAAAACAATCTGTAGCTTTTATTGGGGGGGTCATTGAATTGGATAAACAAAAACGTTCTCATTTCAATCCACATCATAAAAATCGAAAAGCAGACGTCTGTAGATATTTTATGTTGTTATTTTTGTCTCTGTTCTAAATTCTAAGGGACAATGTATGGTGAAATCATTTTAATTCCCCCGCCAAAAATCAGCCAAGCAATGGCTCATTTTATTTTAGATTTTTTTTTTTTCCCTTCCTCCAATTTTAAAAGAGCAACTACCGGCCAAACCCCAATTTCCACTCTTGGTTTTGGCCCCTCGTATCAATCCCACGAATGCTGGGATCTGATCTTTCTCCTCGTGCTCCGAGAACAGGGCGACGTGTCGGAGACGGTTCGCATGTTCTTCGAGGACAGCAAAGCTTTCCCGCCGTCGGCCAAGAGCCTGTTGACCATCCAGGAGGTGGACGCCTCGCTCACCCGCCTGGCACAGCTCACCAAGGAGGACGAGCAGCAGGCGGAGCTGGAGGACGTCGCCAAAAAGTGACCGTTCGCTCGCGCCGCCTCGCTCGCGCCTCCTCGCTAACGCTCACCACCTCTCTTCCTTCGCCCTCAGGTGCACCGGCAACGACCTGAAAGGCATCATCCGCCTCATCAAGCACGACCTGAAGATGAACGCCGGAGCCAAGCACGTGTAAGTGAGCGGTCGCTTCACCTCCGCTGACTGGTCGGTTTCTCCCTCACGGTTGGCTTGCGCGCGCAGACTGGACGCGGTGGACCCCAACGCCTACGACGCCTTCAAGGCCTCCCGCAACTTGGCCGACGTGATCGAGCGCGTGCTGAGGAACCAGCAGGAGGCCTCGGACGGCTCGGGGCCCCGCAAGCTGTTGACCGTGGAGGCCTCGCTCATGACGCCCGTTCAGCCCATGCTGGTGAGTTGCACTCTTCCGTCGTCTCGCCGAGAGGAGACAAAGGGCAGCATGGAAACAGACTACTGCAGCAAAGTCGAAACTCAAGAGTGTAATTCTCAGACAACATCACTGTATTCGAGGACCCTCGTTTTAGTCGTTTTATTTCTGGAGCGTTATGCTCCAGAGTCTCCACCTTGCTGCAGTGGTCCAGTTTGACCCTGCCCTTAGTCTCCTCGTGGATAAGACATTTCCTTAAGCAAAACTTATTACAGGAGAGCCTCGTCATTGTAATTTGAATTCTTTTCAGCCGTGATGTTTCAGGAATTCTACTCCAGAGTCGCCACTTCCGTGCAGGGGACCGTTTTTGTCACTGCCCTTAATCACTTCGATTAAAAAAAAAAAGGTCCTTACCGTGAAATTTTGCTTTTTTTTTGTAATTTTTTTTTTTTTTTTTTTAAATTCCAAGAGCAAATTTTCTTAAATTTGAGTCCAATGGCAATTGTGGAACCACTCCATTTGAACACAGACTTATCTGTGGTACCTTGGTATTTTTATTTTTTTTTCCTCTCCCTAGGCGGAGGCGTGCAAATCCATCGAGTACGCCATGAAGAAGTGCCCCAACGGCATGTACTCGGAGATCAAGTACGACGGTGAACGCGTGCAGGTGCACAAGAGCGGCGACAGCTTCAGCTACTTCAGTCGCAGCCTCAAACCCGTCTTGCCGCACAAAGTCAGTCGTAACGATCACACGCACACACACACACGCACACACACACACACACACACACACACACATGGGTGCGTGCGCGCGTTGCGATCGGTGTTCTCTTGTATGATTAGCACCCTCGAGCAAAGCTCCCAGTGGCACATTTCCCACAAGGACTTGTCACCATTTGCTCTCTCTGCATATGGCAGTGAACTCTCGGCTGCACATGACAACGCGACCACTAGAGGGTGCTGCAGGACATAAAATGTTCCCCCCCCCCCCAAAAGATCTGATTGTCAAAGCTTATTGGAGTGAACATGAAACAACAACAAGAGTAGTCCAGTTGCACCGATTACAGTGATGACAGCGACTCTAAACGGACCGGGTTTGTCTTTTTCTTTCTTTCTCTTTTATGGTTTTGTGCCTGTCTCCAGGTGGCACACTTCAAGGACTACATCCCGCGGGCGTTCCCCGGCGGCCACAGTATGATTTTGGACGCCGAGGTGCTGCTCATCGACACCAACACCAGCAAGCCGCTCCCCTTCGGCACGCTGGGCGTGCACAAGGTCAGAGGGTGCCGCCCATTTTGGCAAATGGCAAATGGGAGCGCATGTCGCCCCGTCACCGTTTCCTCTTTGTCTTTATATATTGAATTATTTATTTGTTTGTTTGTCCTCCAGAAAGCTGCTTTTCAAGACGCCAACGTCTGCCTCTTTGTTTTTGACTGCATATACTTCAATGGCAACAGTCTCATGGAAAGGTACGCGCAGCAGATAAATATGAAGAAATGATCACATAAAATGAGTGCAAATACACGGGCTATTGTGGAAATCCCCACTTGGCGTTGGGTTTTGTTTCGTTTTTTTTTTTTTTTGTTTGCAGGCCGCTGAGCGAGCGCAGGAAGTTCCTGCATGACAACATGGTGGAGGTGCCCAACCGGATCCTCTTTTCGGAAATGAAGCACGTCACGGTAAGGGCGCACCAACCACCTGAGACTACACACACACACACACATTTATCGTGTTTTATGTGTGTGCGCGCGTGTGTGCATGTAGCGTGCGAGAGACCTGGCCGACATGATCACTCGAGTCATCAGAGAAGGCTTGGAAGGCCTGGTCCTCAAAGACGTGAAGGTCAGACATTTGTTTTCCGGTGCGTAAACCAGTTGATGAAGACTGGCATGTCATGCTGATGACTAGGTTGTGTGCGTGCGCGCTTGTTTCTGTCCCCACGTCTCCGTCCATATGCCCGCCTCCGCCAGGGCTCGTACGAGCCAGGCAAGCGTCACTGGCTGAAGGTGAAGAAGGACTACCTGAACGAGGGCGCCATGGCCGACACGGCCGACCTGGTGGTGCTGGGCGCTTTCTACGGGAAAGGCTCCAACGGTGCGTTATTGGTGTTTGTGTGTGTGTGTGTGTGTGTTTGCACTTATGTATGTCGTTCATGAGCACAAATGCCACAGGGTCGTTTCCAGGCTGATGTAAAGCCTCACAACATTTCCCCTCTCTCGCTGTCTCTCTGTCTCCCCAACAACCATGCCTCCATGTTAGGCGGCATCATGTCCAGCTTCCTGATGGGCTGCTATGACCCGGACTCCAAGAAGTGGTGCACTGTCACCAAGTGCTCGGGCGGCTACGATGACGCCATGTTGGCTCGTCTCCAGAAAGAGCTGGACGTCGTCAAAATCAGCAAGGTCGGCGATGACAAAACCTCCCGGGAATTCTCTCACAACAAGGCCTCATTCATCATCCTTTGCGCGCGCCCGTCGTTTCCGCAGGACCCCAGCAAGATCCCCGGCTGGCTGAAAATCGTCAAGAACTACTACCCGGATTTCCTCATCCGCAGTCCCGAGGTGAGACCCGCTTAGGTTGAATGATGGGCATACAACTCTTTGACTTTTTGCCCGCAGAAAGCTTCTTATTTGCAAATCATGTTTAGTCTAAAGAGAGTCCAGTAAAAAAAACGTGTTTCATACACACATTAAATCAATGCGCTACAGATCAAGATCAGAGTTGTTTGGTAAACTAAAAAAAAAAAAAAATCCTAACAAAACTTTGTTGGTGACTAAAAGTTACAAAGACAGGGCCGTATAAATAAAGATGGCTTGAAAAAGTAAAGGGAAAAAAGTGAAATAAGATAACCTTTATTAGTCCCACACTGGGGAAATTTGCAGAGCAAATTAATCCAATTAAGCTCCAAATCAAATCACAAGAATTCGCGCATAAAGTTAAAAAAAAAAAGTACAAAATGCCCAAATCTGTCTTTCGCTGAAAAAAGTTGAAGGAAACAAGTTCTGTTGATCAACAAGTATTTTGTTCACAAAAAGTAGCGAGAAAGGTCCAAACCAAAGACCTTGAGTTCCAAAGAGTCGGTCAATGAATCTGCCGTTCATGTTTGAACGTTGGACATTTTTCCATTTGAATTGCTTTGTCATTTGTGTTTGTTTGTTTTGGGGGCGCGGTCGCGGCCCAGCAAGCGCCCGTGTGGGAGATCACGGGCGCCGAGTTTTCCAAGTCGGAGATGCACACGGCCGACGGCATCTCCATCCGCTTCCCCCGCATGACGCGCGTCCGCGACGACAAGGACTGGAAGAGCGCCACCAACCTGCCGCAGCTCAAAGTACGCCGCCTCCCCATCGGCGCTTCGTCGCCTTCCCGGACGCGCTTTTGACGCGCGTCCCTTCTGCCGTCCCGTCAGGAGCTGTATCGCATCTCCAAGGAGAACTGCGATTTCCAAGTGACGGCGGGACCTTCTGGCCAAGACAAGGCCGAGTCTGCGGGAGACAGCGGCGGCAGTTCGCCGGCGTCCGAGAGCACCCTGCCCAAGAAAGCGAGTGGGTTGGAAACGGCCACTTGTGATCTTGCGAGTTTTTCTCCAGTTTTGAGACCAAAAAAAAAAAATGGGGGTTACAAAAAATTACTCCATTTTTGACCAAGGTCTTGGAGTTTGGCTGGTTCAAAATGTTGACAGGACTATTTTCCCTTTTCCCACTCCCATCTGCTCATGAATAAAGACATCTCGATTCAATTCTATCCGCCCACAGGTAACAGCACCCCGGCCAAACGCAAGGCGGTGAAATCCGAGCCGAGCTCTCCCGCCATCAAAGCTCCCGCCCCCAAAAAGGTAGCGACTTGCGCGCACGTCGCGCTTTCAAAACACGGAACTCTCCAGCTCACGTTTTTCCCGTCTTTATTTTCGACTCGCAGGTGAGGAAGAGTGCGGAAAGTGTGCAGAGCAACGGACACGCGGGAACGGCGAAGGTGACGGCAACGCCGCCTCCTACCCCGCGGATGCTCGAGTCCAACGACGACAAGGTTCGTACGCCCAAGACACTTTGACACCGTGAATTTCATTGACGCCATTTTGTGCATCCCACTGTGATTTGAAGCGATTTATGACTATATATATATTTTTGGGGGGGGGCGATAGACCCTTCTGGACATCTTCAGCGGCATCAAGCTCTTCCTGCCTTCCGGCGTGGATGATTTTGCCAAGCTGCGGCGTTACTTTGTGGCTTACGACGGCGACCTGGTGGCGGACTACGACGCCGCCTCAGCCACCCACACTCTGGCCGACAATCAGGAGGGCGATGGAGAGGGCGCCAGCCGGGCCCGGCGGGTGACGCCCGGCTGGATCTGGGAGTGCATCCGCAAGAGGCGTGTGGTCGCTCCCTGCTAGCGGAAGAAAAAAGAAGAAGAAACCCTTTTGTCATTTGTTCTTTTCTTAGTTCAAAGCCTTTCACGCCACGGCTTTGATGTGTCACCGTGGTCACGAAGGCTCGTGACTGGCTGTGGTCATTCAAATAAAGCGAGGGCAGGTAGGAGACTGAGTGCATACGCTCTCATTTGTAACTTTTTTTTAATCATAAGAGGAGAGGAGGTCTGAGCAAGTATGAAGTGTTTTTGTTTGTTTTTTTTAAATAAGTCATCATGGAATGATTAAAAAAAAAATCTTGTCACGAAATTTTCAGTTGTACTCATAATTAGTAGGATGGTTATATTTTATTTGTTTAATTTTCGAAAAAAAAGGTCTCATCCAGAAATCATGACGACTTTGTGGGAATGGTCATCATGTGATGGGGAAAGTTGGCAATGAGTTCTAGATTGTCATGCGAGGGAGTCCGTTTTCAGTTGACAAGTCGAAACGACACCAACTTGCTGGTTTGAGGAAGAAAAAAAAATGTAAAACTTAGAAACAATCACCTTTTGCCTCATTGGCTCGCTTACCAGAAAGGCCAACTTGGTCATATTGGAGCCCGGCAACCGCAATCGTTTTTCACTCCACGCTACATGCGCCGGACGCCGTTTCTTGACGAGAGCACGTGTGTGACACGAGTACATTCTTGATGCCGATGACCAACTCCAACGAATGTGCTTGCTCCTAAATTGCGTCAAATCATACACATTCAACAACAACAACAAAAGTGTCCAATTAGCATTTGATGGAAGGTATCAAGCATTTCAAGTGTCTTTTTCCAGGAAGCCCTTGAGCAGAAAAGCACTTCCGTCATTCTCGCAAGACAGTTGCCTGCGCAGCTCCCTGTTTTCCTCCTCCAGAGTCAGATTCTTCTGGAATATTTCCGAGTTCTCCTCCAGGACGGCCAGGTACTGCGTCAAGGCGATCTCGGCGGCGTCCCAGACTCTGAGCTTCGCCGCCGGGATGATGTTGGCCAGCGTCTCCCAAAAGGCTTTATCGGCATCGGCGTCCCAGTCCAGGTAATGGCGTAGCGCCGAGCTTTTCATGCAGTGCACGCGGTAGCTGACGAAGCTCAAAAAGGCAGGCAGCACGTTGTTGGGATGGATGAGTTGCGCCGCGTCGCCGTCGCTTTGGCCCGCCCGCTCTCGGTGCTGCTCCTCGTACTTGAGCAGGAACGCCGCCAGCCTGTTCAGGTCGTCGTCGTAGAAGTCAAAGGCGTTGAGCAGGCCCAGGAGCTTCTCGGCCGTGCGGCGCTCGTTGTACAGGAAGCTGAGGTGCTCGCTGTTCTCCATCAAGAAACCCAGCTCGTCGCCCAGCAGCCCCAGCAGCGCCGTCATGGTCTCGGCGTCCACCTCGGCCACGCTCTCGGCGTACACCTGCGCCGCCATCTCGAACTTGTCCTGCGGCTGGATGGGGTAGCAGCGCTCCATGGCGGCGGCGGGCCGCTCCCACGTCAGACCCAGGTGGGCGCAGAGGTGCGAGTCGGCCGCCAGCGCGCTCTCGGCCAGCAGCTTCACCTCGGCCACCAGCATGCGCGACATCTCCACGAAGGTCTGCGCGTCGGACAGGGCGAAGTGCTTCATCTTCTTCTGGATGCGCTTGTGCTGCGCCATGCTGTGGCGGATGTCGTCCAGCAGATATTGCTCGCGCCGCTGGAAGCTCTCCTCCTCCATCTGGATCATCTTCATGATGTCGCTCAGCTGCACCTTGAGCGTGTTGACGCGCTTGCGCAGCAGGTAGATGACCTCGGGCTTCTCATCGCAGCTCAGCTTGCGGGCCTCCAGCACGTTGCGCTTGCCCTTGATCTCCTCCTGCTCGCGCTCCAGCTCCATCAGCTTCATGTCGATGGAGCGCTTGGACGTGTTGCACTCTTCCTGCGCCAGCTCCAGCTTGGGCATGGCGTTCTCGTACTCCTCCATGGCCAGCTTCCTCTGGGTCAGCCACTCCTTGCGACGGGCCCGGAGCTCCGTCTGGTAGCCCTCCCACTCACGCAGGCTCTGCGTCAGGAAGATGTCGTGCGGGCTCTGGATGTGCGCCAGCTCCTTGTTGGCCATGGTCATGTGCCGCACCTTGTCCATGCGCTCGACCATCAAGTCCAGCGCCTCCGTCTGCTTGCGCAGGTCGATGGAGTGGCGCTCGTCGCCATCCAACCAGTTCTTCTGCAGCAAGGCGATGAGGTCCATCTTGTGGCCCATCATCTCCGAGCACAGCGCTTGCTGACCGCGCAGGGAGTCCAGGAGGTCGGGCAGCGTGGACTTGGTGGCGGCCTGAGCCCAGCCCTCCTTGATCTCCTCCAGCTTCTTCAAGCTGAAATTCTTCGAGTCATCCAGGCGCTCCACGCGCAGCCGCAGCGCTTCCTCAAACTTGGTCCGCCGCAACGATTGCTTGGCGTCGGCCGCCGTCTGGAGGTCGGTGAAGAAGGAGAGCAGGTCGCGATGCAGGCGGATGACCCGCTGGGCCGTCATGGGCTGTTCGGCCACCGCGGCTTGTGGGGCCTCGTTGGCCTCCGGCCTGGTCGCGGCACCTTCCTGGCTCTGCATCTCTTCAAAACTCGTGGTCAAATTGGGAAACCGTGCGCAACTTCCAGTTTGGTTCGGACACCAAAAAAGATCAAAGATGAATCATTACTCTGTGATTAGAGTGATGCGCAATGACATCGCAAAGTGCGGTTGGGTGATGTCATCACTTCACTTCAGAACGTCCGATTCGACAAAACAGACGTCACAGAAGCGCACGAGAATTTTATAATTGACAGATAGTCATTTTTCAAACGTAACGAACCACGTTGTCAGTTTTGACCGAGAGCAAGAACCTCTGCTTTTTCTTTTTTTTTTTTTTAGGGTTACCAACTTCGGTTTTCCAAAATGTTGTGGGCAGACTCGTGACGTCAAGAGCGCTCGATTTGAGAGACGAGCACTGCGGATGGGCGGAGTCGGTTCGGCACGGAACACCCTCTATGATGTGTTCGATTGACCCAAACTACGGATAAACATACACGCGCAGCAACAGAAAACAACACCACACAAGAATGGGACGTGGTGTAGTCGGATTTGTCTTCACTCACCACCGCCGGTTATTTTTCAGCGTTCTATCCCGGGGCCAATAGCTTTTCCCCGGAGAGGCTAACGACTAGCTCGGCGGCGCCGGCGGCGTGCGGGCGGTTGAGCTAGCGTCGGAGCTAGGCTAGGCTAGGCTAAGCTAAACAGTTGTTTTTCAGTTTCTAGCGATTCCAACGGAGCTCCCCGTCACCAGCGTTCCCCGGAGACAATGGTAAGTGTCGATAATTTAGCCCACGACTATTAAATTGTGCAGATAGTTGAAATGGGAGTTGAGTTTTGAACAGTTGACTCTGGGCCAGACAGCTTAGCGTTAGCCCATTACACAAGGTGGGCAGTATGCTGCTCAACTCCAGCAAACAATTTATAGGGCGGTTTTTGACGCCCCCCCCCCCCCACAGTTTGACACGTTTGCGTGTTCGAAATGCCTTTTTAAACACCGTATTGAGAAACTGGAAATCCCCGCACATTCGCTGTTTTGCTAGTCGCAAATTCACCAATACTTCACATCAATACTATTGGTCTTTGCCCACGTCATCTCTGACTCTGTTATTATTCACCAAGTGAAAGTGTCGAGAGCAAATCTGGAACGCTCAAGTGCCAGAGAAGTGTCGTAAAACAACATCTCTTCAATCACTCTCAAAGAGCCGTGCAGCATTTACACATCTGGGTTTTATTTTAGATGACTCAAGTTGAATATCGTTACGTTTGTCACATTTGACTCAGCGTGTTTTGTTGGAGATGTAATACTGTACTGTGATACTTGGGCGGAGAAGGAAGCGGTCAGCCTTGAAGGTAAATTGCATTCTTACTTTTTACACTGCTTAGTCTTTTATGAATTGAATCATTCTTGGCTTCAAGACATTTGAGAGAGTTTGGGAAGATGTCACCCTGTTTTTGCTTTTGTCACATTTTAATTGAAATAAGTTAGCAATTTAAGATGATTGTGGGGTGGCGATGTGCAAGAAGGTATACACCCAACTTGAATGATGGGTTGTTTAACTCAGACAAGATGAGGATTTTTTTTTTTTCAAGTCGTGATTTTGGCAAAGCGAGGACTGCAGCCCCCTTGAGGGTAACTCTAATGACAATGCTTGAGAACCGCCTTTTTTCCTCTTTTTTTTGGGCTCTGCAGGTGTACTTGTTGAACCCTCTGGAAAACCTCAGAAGCTACATCAACAACCGCCCGCCACTGGTCATCTTTATGATCAGTGTCAGCGCAGTGGCCATAGCTTTCCTCACCATTGGCTACTTCTTCAAAATCAAGGAGATCAAGTCCCCAGAGTTGACGGAGGTGGGTCTGTTTCTGTTGTGTCCGATGTGTGATGGTGGTTATGAATGACTGCCAAGAGGAGCAACAGCATTAATTGTCCGATGTGTTTTTTGGGGTTGGGGTTTTGGCTCTGGCTTATTATTCCTCAGGACTGGAACACGTTCCTGCTGCGCTACAACGAGCTGGATTTCTGCGTGTCGGAGAATGAAACCATCAAGCATGGTCTCAACGAGTCCACCACGCCCGAGAGCCTTGCGGCAACCAGCGGGCAGGCACGGCCCAGCACGCCGGTGCCGCTGCTCTCCGAGGACTCGGGCTTCGTCAATATCTCGGTGCCCATCACGCTCACCTTGGACCCCCAGCGGCCCTTCGGCGGCTACTCGCGCAACATCACCCACCTGTATGCCACCGTCCTGGGACAGCAGGTCGGCCTGTCTGGTGAGAGAGAGTCCCTTGTTTTAGTTTGGTTTTGATTTTTTCCACAGCAGCCACCTTGACTTGGTAGAGCAGCGCCTTATAGAACTAGTTGACCGTTTGTTTGCGTTCCAGGCCGAGAATCCCACGAAGAGATCAACATCACGTTCACGCTGCCCGTGTCCTGGAACGCCGACGACTGCATCCTGCACGGCCATTGCGAGCAGGTGGTGTTCAGCACGTGCATGACCATCACGGCGGCCAGTAACATCTTTCCGGTCACAGTGTGAGTTTCCCCATCGTTTAAAATCACAAACGTATGAAGTGCACGTTTAGATAGCGTAAGAGATACGGGTGAAAAGTGCATCAATGCACTTGCTTTCTATCCATGCAGCGTCTGTATTTTCTGCCGTCCAAAATGCATTTTTTTTAATCCCCCCCCTCCCCACCCCAGGCGTCCGCCACACTGCATGCCCGAGACGTACACCAACGCCACCTCCTGGTACAAGGTGTTCACCACTGTACGGGACTCGGACACCAAGTACAGCCAGGACTACAACCCCTTCTGGTGCTACAAGGGCGCCGTGGGCAAGGTGTACCACGCTCTCAGCCCCAAGCTCACCGTCATTGTGCCCGATGTGAGTCAGCGGGAGATTGCGCCGCTTGTTCTTTTGGCTTTTGTTGTGCAACACCGCCGCCGCAGACGGCGACCAAGTCGTGGCAAACGGGAACGGTGAAAGACGAATACGGGGATCGGTTCCGCCTGCTTGGTCCAAATTGGGAAATGCTAGTGATTTAACCCACCAATGAACGAATACAGATCACATTATTTGCAATCAGAAAGTGGATCTCTGAAATCAAACACACTTGCTTCCTGTCATCTGTTACACACAATAATTTTTTGTTTGTTTTTTTTTCTTTGGATGACCGCTCTCAGGATGACCGCTCCCTCATCAACCTGCACCTGATGCACACCAGCTACTTTCTGTTCGTTATGGTCATCACCATGTTCTGCTATGCCGTCATCAAGGGCAGGCCCGTAAAACTACGGCAAAGCAGCCCCGATTTCTTCCCCGAGAAGGTAGGTTTCAAAAATAGAGAGGGCATTTTGTCATCAGACATGCCCAGGGTTCATCGTTAACAGCGGCTCGATGACCCGGGGCCATCACGTGACTGTCGGGCCACCCGAAGTTCACTGATGCTGCCCCAACATTGCCGCCAGTACAAATGTCAGAAATAAATATGATGATGTCATCACATTGCTTTTTAAAATATCTCACATTCACTATATCTCACCTAAGTTGATCTATCAATACCGACAAATGGGGAGGTACACTTGAACTGGTGTTACTGTCTTTTAGGTGGCACTGTCAGAAAGCTAAGAGGGAGCGAGAAGATACGTTAAGGTAACGTGACAACTCAAAAAATACAAACCAATTGAAAAACACCCAGTGACGACTCACCGTATTGCCAGGCGGACTCTTAAGGATGATTTCGAAACTCCTTGCAATGATGTTGGGACGGTCCAACCAAAGAAACAAGTGCCTGTCATCTGTGGTGTAAATAAGACATTGAGGAAAGTTTTATTTTCCTTTTTTTTTTGTGTGTCTGTGTGTGTGTGTGTGTGTGTGTGTGTGTGTGTTACTTTTGAATTGCCTCTGGAGTCGTCCGGTGCCATATCAAGACAGTGCAGTAGAATGAGCAAGCGGCATGCCACTTCAAAAATTTGTTTGTCCGAATCACACACTTAAATCTGCAAAGGTTAAAAAAAAAAAAAAAAAAAAAAGACACATCTGAACGGGATGTGAAGGAGCACTTTTCCCAAGACGAGGTGTATTTCTGAAGCCACGGCCCAATTGTTGGCGCCTGATTCATATTTCGTCAGTTAGCATGCTATCGCTAGGTGGTCGTAGCCAGTTTTAACTTGTTCAAGAAATGGGCCACAATTTTACTTGGTGTTTGATTAGTAATGACTAAGCCAGACATTTTGCCTTTTTTTTTCCCCTCCCTGCACCAGACTAGACCAAGCAGCAAAATTTTAGTCACTCTTTGATGAGGTCGTACAGGAATGCGAAAGTGGCGGTAAATTTCATCACAGCATTAATGCTACAAGAAGAATATCAACCATCAGAGCCACAGCTAAATTGTTAGCATCCCTTTGGAATAAGTTAACGCGGTAACAACGTCAATTTTTTTTCACGTAGCCTTATGATACTACATCGAATGGTAACCCTGGCGAAAGCATCCCCCCTGTTTACGGATGAATTCTTGACATTTCTGACATCTTATGGAATTCGTCTACCACAAAGTAGCGCGCTCACCAACAAACTTGAATGTGCATTTGTGACGTCTTGCGTCAGCCATGAACCAGGGAGTAGCTTGCTCACCAACGGTATCACCTGAACCCAAATTCTTGACATCCTAGCTTAGCCGTGAACGAGGAAGTAGCACGCTAACTGATATCGTGACGTTCCGATTGACATTGCCACGAATACTGATGAACGTTCAAGTAGCATTTCATCACTTGGACGTCACATTCTCTTGGCCGTCTGAATTATTAGTTTGCATTTTACTTTCTGAGTAATCATACAAATGTGCGAATGGTGGTGTTTATTTTACGGTAACGGTCGAGTAGCAGGCTTACCTACAAGCAAGTTGAGAAAACACCGATTTTTTTTTGCGTTCGCTGCGAACCAGGAAGTCGACTTAGCGTTTGTCAGTATGCTTGCTATTTTCTGCTTTATGGCTCCTGTCAGAACTTGGGAATGCGACGAGCACTTTTCAAGAAATTGCTTCAATCTGCAATCAAAAATTGCTTGCCCGCGCTTAACTGAAATTGGTAGCGTTACCATGTTTTTGGCCGTCTGTTAGTTGGCATGCTACTTCCTTGTCAATGGCCGAGTCAGCAACGTGTGGACTGTTGCGTTGCAGAACCTCTTCCGTAGCCCGAGTTGGCTATTATTTAAAAAAAAAAAAAAAAAGTGCACATTTTTCTTTTTTACATGATCACTTTTTTAAATAGCGCTAAAAAATGATCAGCCTGTGTTCATGCATTTAAAATGATCGATTTTTTTCTTTTTAAAATATCAGAAAATCGTCTGTGTTAACGTACGCTACTTAGCACTGAAGTGTGTGTCTGATGAATACCAATTATATTCAAATAGCATTGCGTTACTTGAATGACAAGTTTTTCGCTTCTTCTAAATTGCTAGCGTTGCAAAAAAAAAAAAAAAATCTGTCCTTTCATATATCCGCCCTTCTATTTTTTTTTATTTTTTTGTCTTATGAAAATCTCGTAAAAACAATCAGTCCGTGTTCGTGTGCAAGATACTTAGCGTGTTAGCAGAATGTGAAGACGTCGCCGTTTGTCATTGAAGCAATTGTATTTTTTTTTTTCTTTTGTGTTTGCGTTGGTTTTGACGCAAAAAGATGAACTTGCCTTACCTGCGACGGATGAAGTTTGCGTCTTCGCCGTCGTTTTCTTGTGGAAATCCATGTGCAAAATATTCATATCGATCCTCCTTAAATTATTTTGTTTTTTGAATTACTTTTGTTGTTTGAATACTTAGCGCACCTTGTAGATTTCTTGCACATTCTGACGTGATTTATTTATTTTGGGTTTTTTTTTTGGGGGGGGGGGGGGGGGTCGTTATTTCTGCACCCCAAAAAAATCTTTGTATAATTCTATTTATGTTTAAAGTAATTTATTTTTGTTTTTTATGACAGCGTGTAAAAGGAATGAGTGTTGGACGCGATTCTCTCCAATAAACATTTGACAATCATTTATCATGAACGCTGAATTTATCATTTGTCGCTTTTTAATTTTTTGTTGTCATGAATAGGAGAAAACCTGCCGAAATCCGCCCTTTTCCACATTTTTTCTGACCTCCTCTTTAATTGACTTTCATAGAATGTACCTAATGAATGTGTCCCCCCTCCCCCCTTCCCTTCTATCCTGCAATACAATATCATGACACTCTTTGTTGATATTAAATGAAAGTATTGGCACAAATAGTGGCCCGGGCCGTTTTTTGACTCAGCCTTCAGATCACTTCAAAGTGGACTTGAATTCCAAAGAAATACGACGAGCACGGTGGAAATGCAGTAAAGTTACTTACACTGAATTTAGTTTCTAGGTGTTTTTTTGTTACATTAATTGAACAGAATTCCAGTTTTTCGCAATCATTAAAAAATAATAATTGAATGGAATAATTTCACATCTTTTTTTTTTACTAAGTCGTTTTTTTTTTAATTAACTAACAGTTTCTCAAATTGCATTAGTTTTAGTTTGTTCACATGAATTCATAATTTCATCATTTGATCATTGCTTATTTTAGTTTTTTTATTAATTCAGTCATTACATTCAGGGTTTTTTTTGTTTTAATATTCTCAACTTCATTAAGTTTCATCATTTTGTTTGATAAGTTATTCTAACTTGTTTTTGTACTTCTTTTTGTAATTAACTGAAAAAAGTCTCACGGTACCTATTGCCTATTTTGAAATTCAGCTGCATGAAGTGAATTTGAGTCCCCCTCGAAATCATCCTGGCGCCTTGACTTCGTTCAACAAATTGAAAAATAAGGCATTTAGGTGGCCATAAAGCAATGGATGGAGGCACTTTTTCATCGACCCTAAATCACTCAAGACACTTGAATATCACTGCAATGTCATCAATATCAAGCAAGACAAATTTTGACCGTTTTCATCCACGCTCGCAGGAAGTTTGTCCACGGGAGACACTAAATACACAAAATGTCATCAACAGGTGCCCGAAATAAATGATCGTATTCCCTAGGTGACCCTAAATCAATCAATTTCAGTCACAGGTGACCTTTCATCCCTCTAAAGGGAAGGTTATGAACTGGTGACCCTAAATCAATGACTCGTGTGACTGGTTAAATCAACACGTCACCCTAAATCAATCACTCATGCAACAATCTCATCAACTGGTGACCTTAAATGTGTCATTGTAACCATAAATCGCTCCCTAGGGTAACAGTTCATCAAAAAGTGACCCCCCCCCCAATTGTTCACGGTATTTGTTAAGTAACCGCAAATGACGGAACTTGCAACCATCCAATCAACAGGTGACCTTAAAGCAGTCTCAATTGTGACGATTTCATCCACAGGTGAACTTAAATCACTCTTGAAAAAAAAAAATGCGGACCCCGGAAGGAGATTTGTATCGTTTCATTCCATTTTGCTTCCCTTTCCGAAACTCAAACGAATGGCTTTGAGGTCAACGTGAGATTTAGCAAGACATAGCTCACGGGGCGTTTTGCCTTTTCACCACCAGGGGGCTCCCTTGACTTGTTTCAAGACGAGCTACGCTGCTTTCCCTGCTTGATCGCCTTCAAATTTGCAGAAGGGCTGAACAACAGCCATTTTCTTGACAACAAAATCCCTCAAACCACTTTTGACGCACTCTGAAGTGCTGCGAACATCCAGGGCGCCAATAGTTGTCGTCTCCTACAGCAGGTGGACGTTTTAGCCGCATGTTTTGGTTTGTTTTGACATCTTATTGACTTGTTTGAGACGACTGGGCGGCGGTTGACTTGAACGTAGCCTCAAAGTGCGGCCCTGCTGCCATACTCATCGATACATTTGCATTCTGATGTCGAAATTTATAGTTCCTAAACAAAGCTAGTCATGTAGAACGTACCGCATTTGCCAGTCAAACAACTTTACCAATACGTTCGTTCAAACGACTTCCCTCGGGCTGCAGCTATCGAAAAATTGGATATTCGGATATCCGACTTCAAAATCGAATCGAATAATAGACTATTTGGATGAAATCATTTTTGCTTGGTTAAAGATACAGAAGACAAAAAAAAAACAATTTCCACTTAATAAACGGCCGATTGTTTTTCATTTTTAGAAAATCAACCTTTTACACTTAAATTTAAATTGCGTAGCGGACCGATTTCAGCCCTGGATTGAAGCAATACTTTACGTAACTTTGCAGTACGTTCAAATGACTTTATCCAGAGGTTTGAATGACTTGACCAATACGGCGGCGCCGCCGAGTCCACAGTGGCAGTTCCGCGTTCCGCCGGCATTAGCGGTGCTGCGTGAGTCCGAGGACCTGTTGCGTTGCAAGCCAACGCACGCGGGCACGCACGCGGACATGATGTCCAGATGGACGGCGTTAAGGTGGGAATTAAGCGCGGTGACGCGGCGGCTCCTGTTTACCAGCCGGTTGCTAGGCAGCAACATCAGCTGATTTACCCCCCCCCCCACACACCCACACCCCCCCTTCCTGGCTAATCCATCGGCTCTTCCCTCCTCACCGCGCACTCCTGCCTCGGCTCTGGTGCAGATAGGCGGCTGAGGGTGGAGCGCGGGAACGGACCGAAGGCGGAAGGGGGTGGCAGTCAGACGGCGGGTGGGGGTGCGAGGCGTGTGTCCATCGGAGAGGTTCTCTTTCTTTTTGTGTGTGTATGTGTCTTTCTTTTGTTTTTGCTCCTTTCTTTTCTGTCAGCCCTGCGTTTGGCAGAAGGCTCCCGGCTTGGACCGCATGCATGACACAACGCAAAGGCGAGAAACCCACCATCAGCATCCAGGAGCACATGGCCATTGACGTGTGCCCCGGACCCATCCAGCCCATCAAGCAGATCTCCGACTACTTCCCCCGCTACCCTCGGGGCCTGCCGCCCGTCGGGGCCCCGCGCACCACCCTCTGCGCCGCCCCGGCCGCCGCCTCCGCCTCCGCCTCGGAAAGTGAGGACAGCCCGGACCGGGCGTTCGCCGGAGCTTCGGCTTCCAGGAGAGACGACGAGCCTGACGTGGAGGCGTATGACTCGGACGACTCCAGTAAGTGACGCGCTGCCGTTTTTCTTTTCTGCCGGTTGCCATCGCCTTTTCCCCCCCACATGCGTTCTGTGTTCCTGCATTTTTGTGAGTTGTCTCACACAGACAACTGTTGCACCCGCGCACCCCATCCTCCACTGTATTCCCTTTCCTCGGGAATGTGCGTGGCAGTTTTATCACCGCGTTTGTCTGCTTGAATTTAGGAAAAAAAAAAAGGGGGGGGCGACAGGTGACTCCAGATTGGCTGTGGTGGCATGCAGCAATCTGGAGGCTGCGATTTTATCCACAGGTGACTCCTAACTCACTCTATGGTGTCGGAACACGTCGCAATCAAACGCTCGTCTCAACCGTCTGCGCTCCGCTTCGTCTCTTTGAGATCATGTCGGGCTTTTTGTTTTGCTACTTTATGCGCAGGTGACTCGAAATCAGGAATGTACCCGAAAGTCAAAACATTTTTACGACTAGTTCATCAGCGGGTGACCCTTAATAAATCACTTTCTCTGACTCGACCATCAAACTCTTAACTTGCCGCAATTCAAACCTTCCCCAACCAACGCTCATCCCCATAGGTGACTCGTGCGAATGGTTCATTGACAGGTGATTTCATCCAGGTGGCTCTCAGTCCAACTCCTTCCATCAATAGCTGACCCTAAACCCTTCATCCCAAAATCCATCACGTTCCATTAGTCGAGTTTGTGACTTCTAACTTGATTAGAAATGAAAGTCCGGCCAAAATCAATCAAATGAAAAAAAATCAATCACTCTCACCACAATTCCATCCGCAGGTGACCCTAAATCCCTCTAATTTCATCCCCAGGTGACTCGAAATCATTTTCATGGTGTCAGGCCTTCTGACAGTGTGTGTGTGTGTGTGTGTGTGTGTGTGTGTGTGTGTGTGCGTGTGTGTGTGTGTGTGTGTGTGTGAGGGTGAGGATCTTAATGTGTGACAGGAGTCCGTTAATCCCGCCACAGTGGGAGGGGAAGGGATGGGGGGAGTGCAGGGTTTAGGGCCACTCTAATCCCGAACTGGTTGAGAGGATGAAGATGATGAGGAGGGAGGGGGAGTGGGGGGGGGGCAGATGTTCCCTTGTCACAACCAATACTCTGCTCCAGTCTGACACTCCGCAGTCTCCTCTTTCCTGCATTTTGCCCTCAGTCTCCCGAGGGCACACGACCGTGGCGTGACCATCCACGTTGTCTACCTTGTTGGGCTTTGCCCTCAGTCTCCACTTTGCTGGATTTTGCCCTCTGTCTCCTGGGGCTAGGCTGCAGTGGTATGATTTTCCAAAGTCTCTAATGGTTCCACTTTGCCTTCTGTATTCTGAAGATACGTGGCTGTGGTCTGAAACTGAAGTCCCTACTCTGCCCTCAGTCTCTGAAGGATAAGGCTGTTGCATGACAGTCTTCTTCATTGCACTTCGCCCCGAGTGTCCTCAATAAACCACAGCCGTGTTGGCTGGACGTTGAAGTTGACGCACGGGCGTCCCTGAATCGACCCCACATCCAACGGTTTCATCCACAGATGATCCTAAATCCTTCTCATGCAAATCGCGTCGACAATTGACATCAAATCGATCACGTTGGTGAGAATTTCATCCACGGGTGACCCTGAATCGATCACATTTGCCGCATTTGCGGGAATCGGCCCTTGAGGAAAACTCGCTTGCTGAACTCGAGCGTCACCGTGTCACGTTTCTGCAAGCGGGAGTCAGCGCTCATGTTTGCGATCGCGTTGAGGCCCAACGTCTCCGGTGGCTCCCGCGCGACTCCATCCAGTATGTGCGGCGCTTCCTCTGAGACGAGGCGGGGTGGGGTGGCGTCCCCCGTGATCCAAAACATATCAAGGGAGGTGTGTGTGTGTGTGTGTGTGTGTGTGTGTGTGTGTGTGTGTGTGTGTGTGTGTGTGTGTGTGTGTGTGTGTGTGTGTGTGGCGGGGGGGGGTGTCATTGAGGGATATGTTGCTGGGTGGCGACCTATCTGCATCTGTGACTCAACCTTGACTTTCTAAATTGAAGTGCATTCCCTCCACCCCCCTGGCAACTGTTGTCGAGGGGCTTGTGGGAGAAGGGGTGCGACGGCAGAGGATTGCCAGCGCAGCGGGCACAGGCTATCACGTCCCTGCCGGGGTGAGGAGAAATAGCGGGCGTGACCCATCAAACGTGCCATCCTCTCATGTGTGGAGATAAGACTCAAAGGCGATTGTTTGGGGGGGG